TATATATATATATATTTCCCCCTTCTCCTTCTCATTATCCTTTTCTCTTTTCTTTTTTTTTATTTTTCTTTCTCAAAGAAAAAAGAGATCACAAAAAAAATGGCGTTGCGTCTATCCTCCTCCCTGTGGACTCGGGCACTCGTGTTGTCACCATTCTGCCATCAACCCGTCGCTATTCCACAAATTACACCTCTGCAGCGTATCATCCACGAAGTTCTCCCAAATAATACTACTACTAATAATAATAATAATAATAATAATAATAATAATAATAATAATATTACTAATAGTAATAGTATTAGTCGTAGTGAGGAAATAGCGGCACTGTTGGAGCAACTTCCCGCCCATTGTGATCGGGCCAAACAAGAGATGCTCTCTGCTCGCCGGGCCAGTCTTTACTATCGTAGTCGATATGGAAGAGGTGTGGAAACTCAACGGAAACAAAAAGAGAAATTGCAAAGTATGTCGGATGATGAAATACAACAGTGGGCTCGCAGTAAGTGTATACTTGTGCGAAATCCCTTAATACCGCATTAAGTTGTTTTGTTTATTTATTTATTATTTGTTTTTCTTGTTTTTCCTCCTCCACTCTCTCCTTTGCAATGTGTTCTTCTTCCCCCATTTTTTTCACGTGAATTATTCTTTCTCTCTTTTCTTTTCTTTTCTTTTCCTTTTATTATTATTATTATTATTATTATTATTATTATTATTATTATTATTATTTTCTCTTGTTTAGATGTAATGTTTTCCCGCCGGATTTCTGCGTTGCTGCTGGCCCCTAAACTTTCACTCATCACACGGGAATTAACAAAAGAAGCGCAACAGTCAGAACTGCAAGAGGCGGTGCGGCGCCACAACACCGCAGTGGCAGAAAATAATAATAATAATAATAATAATAATAATAATAATAATAATAATAATAATAATAATAATAATAATACTAAACAAGGTAATAGTAGTCATCATCCTATACACACAACTACTTATGATGATACCGCCGCTGTATACTATCCAGCCTTTCACTTAATTACATTACCACCCAGTAGTGGTGTTCATCGTAGTGAAATACGTCAATCACTGGCAACCAACATAACGAAGGAATTTCATCATTCTGTAATAGAACCATGGAAAACAGCTGCTGAACGACAAGCAATCATAGTAGGTTGTCGAAGTCTTTCCTATTTACAAAGACAATTAGAAATGGATTCTACATATAGTTTACTCATTATAGATCATACCCTCTCAGCTTTATTAGATGCTGCCATGAAATTAGTTCCTTTATATGGTTCACGTATTCACTTTATTCGCAGTGATGTGTTCTTTCTATTACAGAAACTCGTACCTCCAATGATAGCAGATATCTGTATTGCTCCTATGCCTGTTCCTTTCTGGTCTGAAAGTGGAAGTTACAGACGTCTCGTTACTCGTGATTTTCTCTGTGTTATTCATCAACTTTTAAAAGTACGTGCAGATCCATCGGATGCTCGTGGGTTTGTTACCTTTACAGATGTTATTCCACTTGCAGAGTTTATGATGGAACAATTGGAGGAAAGTAAATTAATTGTTCCTTGGACACGAAAAAACCCGGCGGAGACATATGGACGATGGCTGCCATTGCAAACACCTCCACATCGTGAATTTGCACAACAGCGACTGGGAGAGACAGTGGCTTTTGCGGCTTCAAAGAATGGACCAACCTCTGCACAGGCCGTTCTTCATATTGATTCACTAGACTATAAACGACGCTATTACCGTGGACTTTCTCCACCTACAGAGTGAGAGAGAGAGTATATTATTATTATTATTATTATTATTATTATTATTATTATTATTATTATTTTGCTTTCTGTGTGTGTGTGTAAGGGACAGCAACAATGGTGATGATGACGTTGTTGTTATTCTTATTGTGTTGTTTGTGGGAGAGTTATACTGAGGTGAAAGTAATATTTATACATGGGAGAGAGAAAGAGAGATTTTTAACAAGCGAAAGCCCATTGCAAGGGGAAGAGAAGAAAAAAAAAAAAAGAAATGGAGAGAAAGAGAAAGAGAAAGAAGGATATGCGTCTCTGTTACTTGAGACTTTTTTGCACTTATTCACATACGATATTTATTCCCCCTCCCGTACACATTGTATATATATATATATATACTGGTAGTGGAGTAGAGATTGTGTATATGGTTCTTGCGAACACATGTACCTTTTTTGAGATTCCTCTCTTTTTTTTTTTTTTTTTTTTTTTTTTTTCTTTTCTTTTTTTTCTTTTCTATTAGCGGGAGCTCTATATGTACCGCAAGAATGTCTGTGTGGTGATCTTTAACGAGGACCTGAACTTCCTCGCCTGTCAACGACTACACCAAAAAGAGTATCAATTCGTGCAGGGCGGTATAGAGAGTAAAGACGACGGCGATAATGTTCTCAACGCCGCCTATCGCGAAGTACGAGAAGAAATTGGACTCGAGCGATACGCCTTATCGTTTGTGGCGGAGATTCCACCGCCTAATGGAGATCCACGGGCCTTTCGCTACACATTACGTGATGGGGCCAATCTCCGTCGCTTTGGTTACATTGGACAGGAACAACGATTGCTGCTCTTCTTCACACCAGCGCAGAATATTCACAAAATGAGTGTTATCCCACCGCCAGACACAGACGCCCTGCAGGAGTTTGCACGAGTGGTGTGGATGCCAATTGAAGAAATTGTAGAACGATGTCCAGCAGAGAAACGGCATATCTTTCACGCCGTCGCTACACTCGCCCCACCACTGGCGAGGGCTTTTCTACAGAAGAAAGACTCTGCACTGTAAACAGAAAGAAAAAACTCTGTATATATATATATATATATATATGTATATTTCTATGAGAAGGAACCATATGAAAAGAGAGAGAGAGAGAGAAATAAATAAAGTGAACAAAAAGAAGAAAGAAGAAAGAAAATTAAGTAGAGATAGAAAAAGGAAAGAAAGAAACAGATAAGGGGGAGGGGGTACAGAACGGGCAGAGGGATGAGGGGTGGTGACGTTGGGGAAGTGTGGAAATAAAGAAAGAGAAGAGGAAAAAATGAAGAAGAAGAATCAGTAGAAACCAAGAAGAAAATGACGATCCGTAAAAGAACATATATACACACAAGGAAAAAAAAAGAAAACGGTTTTTTTTTTTTTTTTTTTTCCTCTCGTCTTTACCCTTTGTTTCTCTTTCTTCGTTTGTGATTGTTTCTGTTGGGGTTTGGTAGTAGTTTTTTTTTATCTTTGTTTTTTTTTTTACGTTGCGATTGTCTTTTTTCTTGCTATATATATATATGTCTCTCTCTCTCTTGTCATTATTATTATTGTTATTATTATTATTTTTATTATTATTATTATCAAAGAGATGTGTAAGTTTGTACTTAACACATCTATCTCCTTCAGTTTCTATTTGAAAATAATAATATAAAAAAAAAAAAACAAAAAAAAACGAAAGGGCTATACGAAGCCAAACTTCTCTGAATATTTTTTTCTTTCTCTCTTACTCACACTCTCTCCTTTTATTTTCATTATTTCTTTTTTGTTTTCTTTTTTTTTTTGTTTACTCATATATATATATATATATATATATATATATATAAACACATATACAGTGTGGAGTTGTTGGGGGTGGGGAAAAATGGAGTCGGCGCGGGAGTCACTCCTCCTGACGGAAACAAAACGACTCCTAACGGCTCTTAACGATGAGAACAGAGAACTGAAAACAGAAATCACTCGACTCATCTCGCAGTGTAGTGCCGCTACAGAACGAGTAATGTGCGTTACACGAGATAAAGAGTCACTAGAGAAAGATTTAAAACAAATAAACTTCAATCTCATGCAGCAACTTCGGGTAAAGATGAACACACTTAAAGAAAAGGAACACCAGGTACTACAACTGCAGGAACAGGTAACCAAACTGGAATCTCAACTACAGGAGTTACGTCTAAAATTAGAATCCACCGCGAAGGAAAATGAAATGCGGCGAGAACAGACCACCGCATTAGAGGCTCGATTACATCAACAAACCGAACGACTCTTCCGTGCAGAAGCGGTGGCTGGTAAATACGCAGATGATCTCAACAGTACTATGAGTGAATACCGTGAAAGTACGGCAAAGATGCAACGAGCAAGTCAAGAACGAGTTAAACAACTGGAGGAGGAACTTCGGGCAAGTCGAAATAGAGAAGTGAGTTTAGAACGTGTGGTGGATGAACTTCGCTATGAACTCAGTCGGGCGAAAGAAGCACTACGGCAGAGTAATAGCAACAACAATAATAATAATAATCATAATAATACTAATAATATGAATATGAATAATGTGGAAGGACGACGACGAGCCCTCTCTACCAGATCTGAAGCCCTTTATGCGCATGAGCAGATCTTAACATCCTGTTCCTCTTCTTATCAACAATTGCGGGAATTACAACAAAAACTCCGGTCTTTGGAATCTCTCTTGTCGGAAAATACAATGTACATGGAACAGACATTTCCCGCACGAGAGGCTCAATTGCGAGAGGAGGTGGAACGTTTTACCCACACAGATGAGGCCCTCGTCGCCTTTCTCTGTCAAGGTATTACCGAAAAGGAACAACAACTACAAAAGACACAAGAGAAACTGGCCCACACAGAAAGATATCTTGAACAAGTGGAAGAAGCTCATGAAGAGAAATTAGAAGCCGAACGACGGGAACACAAAGAGGCCTGTAATGGATTACAAAAACAAGTTTCAGGATTACAACAACAATTACAAATACGTGAGGATACAGAACAGAAACTTCGTACGGAATTAAAAGATTGTCAACGTTCATTGGATGCGGAACGAGAACAGACAGAAGCGGTACGACGTTCTTATGAAAAAGATGTGGAACGATTAGATGGACAATTACAAGAATTTACAACCATCGTCTCTCACGCCTTACACAAGTTGGAACCATCCGTTCAGGCGCATTCCCAACAACGACAACAACAACAACATAGTAGTAAGACACCACTCTCATCCTTTTCATTAAATTCCGTAACGGTAAAACCATCCTTATCTGCTTTCGCAGGCACAACAAGTATGGAATGTGATGATAGTGGCATTGGAAGAGGAGGAAGTAAAAGTAATAGTAGAGATAGAGGTATTGGTGGTTTTATGACTCTCTCCAATACAACGGAATTGGGGCATGAAGGGGGAATGTCACCATCTGTGGTGCGAATAGAACCTTTACCTTCAGCACCTTAAACCCAATAATGCATAGAGTTCTCTATTGAATGTTTGTTTGTTTTTAAAGAAAAAAAAAAGGAAAGTGTTTCTTTTTATTGTTTGTATTGTTTGTATTGTTTTTTTTTTGTCTTTTTTTATATTGTTATTGTTTATTGCTTGGTTGTTGTCTCTTTTTTTTTCTCTCTCTCTTTGTGTGTTTGTGTGTGATTCTGGGGCTCTGGGACCTTGTGTATGAGTCTGGGTTACCTCATGTTTCTCATTATTTTTATTTATTGATGTCGATGTTTTGAAAGTTGCTTTCTTTATTATTATTATTTCTCTCTCTTTCTTTATCTCCCGCATTTGTCTTCAGTCGGGTAGAAATAGTAATTTTTCCTGTTCTGAGGCTGAATGTTTATTATTATTATTATTAATGTTTCTATCAATGTATACCACTATATATATTATATATTATATTTTATATTTTATATATACCACTATATATATATATGTATATATCTCTAGAGAATGAGATATCTAGTCTATGGCTTCTTTGATGCTTCTGAGAATAAAAATTATCCCATCTATTGTACATTTCCCCTTTTCTTCTTTTTTGTTTACCATCTCCTATATATATATATATATATTTACTTCCTATACATGAGTAAGAGTGACACTCCAATGGTGTCTCTACGATATTTACAACAACAACAAGAGGCAGAAGCACGTCGAGCCCGATATGAAGAATCACGCCGATTGGCAAATGAGATGTGTGTTCGCCGGGCCCGCACATACGCCGCCCAAAAAGCCCAACAACAACAAAAAGTCCGCAGTGATGTAGAGAAACAATGGGAATGTGAAGTCCAACAACAAGCCGCCCTCATTGATCGTATCCTATACGACTGTCAAGCCAAACAAGGTGAAGGTATGTATAAGGCAGCGGAATTAAAACAAAAACAACAACAACTCGCCGCAGAGGAATTAAACGCATGGGTTGCAGAGAATGCATTGCAGGATGAAAGACATCGTCTCGCTAGAGCACAGGAACGCATCACTCGTGCTCTTCAACAAGAACCACAACGAAGTATATTGGAACGAAAGAAGGCCGTTCGACTCGCAGAAGATAAACGCAGTCGAAGTAAAGCCGCACAATCACGACCACCTTTACCATCTTTCGCTACTACTAATACTACTAATACTAATAATACTAATAATAATATGAAAACTACACCATCACCTCTCGCAGGGGCTTTATCTCATACTGCCATTACACATGGAAACCGTACAAAAACAAATATTCATTCTTCTGCTGCTGTGGTGATTGTGAGTAATAATCGTCCCAGTTCTGTGCAGGGCAATAATAATAATAATAATAATAATAATAATAACATGAACAAAGCTTCTTCTTCTTCTGCTGCTGCTGCTGTGGCCGCTGCAGAGTATAGTAAACAACGACAAGAGGCGATGGCAGAAGCGCAGGCAAATGTGGAAGAGGCCCGTCGTATTGCCGCTGAACGAGCAGCAGCTATTTTATTACAACGCGAAGAAGCCGAAAGAGAAGCACGTGAAGAGGCAAAAAGACGAGCAGCGAATGTAGAGGCATTACAACAACGTATTAGTGCTGCAGAGATACAAGAGAAAGTGATGCCGACTACAGAACTGCAAGAGGCTCGTCGGGCAGTAGTGTTAAAAACACAAGTGGAGGCAGAGTTTGAGTCTATCTTTCTACGTGATACTTTACTCATACCTGCAGAAGGTGCAGCTACAGGTATCGTGGAGAGTCATCATCATAATCATAATAATAATAATAATAATAATAATAATATTAACAAAAGTAACGAAAAGGAAGATACGGAGGACTTGTTGCTATTCCCATTGGTAACTGTTGCATCTCTGTTACCAAAAGAAGGAGAGATTATGCTGCAATTATCCTCCAAGCCGCTTGGTGTACGTCCTATTGTGGATGGAGATGATTTAAATGAATACAGAGAGGATGATAAGGATGATACTACTATTGCTGTGTTAAATGTTGAGGATCATAATAAGAACCATGATGATCTTTATTATCACGTTACTGGGAATAATAATAATAATAATAATAATAATAATAATAATAATAATAATAATAATGAGGATAATAATAATGATGATCATTCGGATGTGGGGAGTGATGCCCCATGCGCATCATTGCTTGCACCTGAACCAACGCCTATATCAACCAAGATGGGAAGAAAAACAATGAAAGAGGAATATGATGAAAAAAGAGAAGAAAAACAACAACAACATCATGAAAAGAAAGAGAAGGAAGAGAAGAAGAAGAAGGAGGAGGAAGAAGAACAACAACAACAACAAACATCATCAACAAGAACATCCTCATCCTCAACATCATTACCATCAACATCACTTCCAACAACATCTTCACCACAAGAAAGCAACAGTCGGGATAATAGTCGCAACAGGAATGAACAAGGGATATTAGATGAACATCATGAAAAATTCCTTAGAAATCTTAAAGCATTACAAGAAAAACTTTCAATGGCAGCTGGTAATGCAGATATGAATATTACCAATGAAAGTTCTACACTTCATGCTAATGTGAGCCTTAGTTCTATGAGCTCTATGATTACACCTATGCGGCTTCCAGGAAGGGAAGAAGAGGAAGAAGAAGAAGAAGAAGAGACAACAGGCAGCTCTACAATAGATACGAGTGACAATAGCAATATAAATAACAATACTAGCAGCAGCAGCAGTGGGTCATCACTCTCATCATTATATTCTCGTCCATATCCTACGATGACAGCCGAACAATTAAAGGCTGCTTTGCAACAAATGAAGCTGCGCATGCGGTCATTTTAGATAGAGTAAATAAATAGAACGTACAAGAGAAAAGAGTGATGAGTGTTTTAATATATTTTCTTATATACATATACATATATACATATATAGATAATAGATACAAGGCACAATACCTTCCTATTTTTCAGCGATATAGATGCACAAAATGATTCTTTACGGAATCTTTATTTATGTGATGGTTTTTTTTTTTTTTTTTTTT